GAGAGAGAGAGAGAGAGAGAGAGAGAGAGAGAGAGTACAAAGCAATAGCATTCCAGCCACCCTGACTCACTTTTTAAAAAAATGTTTCTCAGAATGAAGAATTGGAAGATAACAAAAAATAATATTATTTTTCTTTATTTTAGGCTCAGCTTCTCCCACCATCTACCCTAATCTTGACATTCTGAGAGTGAAGCTAGGAGACTCAGTCAAATTACTTTGCTCAGGGAATTTCCCTGTTGAGTGGATCGGTATCCAGAATGGGTCCACCGTGATCATGTACGACAATGGCACCCTCTACGTGCCAGAGGCTAGTTGCAACCAGATGGGAAGCTACCAGTGTGCTTATATCAACAAGCCAGAAGAGGGGATTAGAACTATATATGTGGCTGTGACAGGTAACCAGATTTCTCCTTATTATCTGTCATATGCTTTGGAAATAAATCATTGCACATGCATAAGTAAACAGTGACCGAGAATTAGGGGAGTAGATGGATTGTGTTCCCCATCCATTGTCAGCTGTCAGTATTTTTACAGAGGATGGAAGGGTTGTAAAGTGTGGAGTGTTAAGCCTGCTGAGGATATGTTAGGGTCTTTCTCCATCAGGTGGCAAAGGCACTTGGTGGGAAACGAAAAACTTAGGCCAGCAGGATTAGAAACTGACTCCCTTTTAAAGTAATTTTTTTCAGTAAGGCTTAACTATACCAATATTTTTTCACATTTGAAACAAAGCAATCATGGGAAATCCCTGCTGCAAATTTGTCCAGTTCCACCATGAGAAATTAGCTCATTTGGATGACTCATGGAATGGAATCCCTTCAAGCAAAAGAGTCAGTTGTTAATTCAGATGTCTACAATCCTAGGAGATTATCAGTCTTGACTCTTGGCCAGATTGTGTCCCTAGGAGAATATACCTGCAGTTTGGGAGTCCTTTTTGATTCACAACTGGAAGATCTGAAGGATGACGTTGCCAAGCAAATCGTCCTAGGGAAAATATACAGCACTGATGTGTTTTTTAAGAGTCAAAACTGACTTGATGGCATATAATAAATGAGTCTGGATTCACAGCTCCTGCTGGGTGAGCAAATGGTGGTCATGGGCAAAAGATTTGCCCTTGAAGACCACACAGAGACTTTAACAGCTGCAAAATGCATTACTGCTACATTGCACTACTGCTTTGAAATTGTTACCTGTGCATTTCTGAGCATGGTTGAAGGTGCAAGTTATCACATATAAAGCCCTGTAAGTCTTGGAGCCTGGGACCAATTTAGGGCCTATTTATTCAATGAGGGAGACAGAGTCCTGCTGAAGATCCTTTCCTACCATGAGGCACAATGAGAGGACTGCCCTCCTGAGACAAGACTGACTGTACAGATATTAATGGAGTCAACAACAAGCTACTTGATATCGATTGGCAACTATATGCATTGTTATTATTTTTACAAATGAAGGCAAATATACCTATCCCAGGATAATGTTGCAGGATCCAATCTGGGTCCCCAGAATGTGAGAGAGCAGTTCCCTGAGGATAGGCTCCAGCAGACTGAGCAGATAAGCTCAGAAGACTAAACCTCTGGTCCCGGTGACCGGCCCAGAGTGGATCCTGTTATTACTTCTATTATAATTAATATCTGTACATTGTCTAGAGTGTATGCTGGGTTCAGGCAAAAAATATATCTCATAAACAAAAATTATCACACACACACACATACACACACACACACACACACACAGAGAGAGAGAGAGAGAGAGAGAGAGAGAGAGAGAGAGAGAGAGAGAGAGAGAGAGAGAGAGAGAGGCCTCTACTGACAGAGAATACCTGAGCTCAGAGATTTTGCTCTCACCACCAAGTCACCACAACCTTATTTTAGATTGCTTCCAGCTGTTTTTTCTAGGCATGCTAAACTACCATATGGATTCCTAACATATTTCTTCTACAGATCCTGACTCTGTGTGGTGTGGCCTTCAGAATGTATATTATTCTGTGGAAAGGGGCAGGGATGCCTTGCTTCCGTGCCTGATTGCCAACCCAAGATTCACAGGCAACATGACCCTCCTTAAAGACTCTTCTCCAGTTGACTCAGAAGTCTCATTCAGACCTAAGGAAGGAATATGGATTCACAAAGTAGACCTGAGTGATAAAGGGTCCTATGAGTGTAAAGCCCAGGTTCAAGAACAGTGGGTGATTTCACCCAGACTTATCCTTTCTATTTATGGTAGGTTGGAACTGCTCTTTTGTAACTACTTGAACATGTGTTTACAAGCCTTTTGGGACAGGTGTTCTGGCAGCAGTTAGAAAAAGTGCTCCAGTGCATGTTGTTCGTTTTTTCAACGTGGAGAGGTTGATTCCAAATTTTATATATTCATTCTGCTGTGCAATGCTGGATCAATATCAATCAACAAAGAACAATTGTCTATATTGGCAGAACAATGAATAGCTGCTTCAGTACATTAGTTGTTCTTTACTGTCACTGCCAAACTGGTTTGAAATAATTTGGGTTAAAATGGGGACACACATCCCCTCCAAGAAAAACTGGGATAACGTCTCAATCCCTTGTGTCAAAATGTTGCTGGAAAAGATGCTGAAAGGGTCAGAAGCTTAAAACAATGTCCCATCATTAGGCAGAAATAGCAAAGGGAAGCATAAGAAAAGATGAAGATGTTAGGTTTCTTGTACTGACAAGCCTTTCTAACTCAGTGTGTATTTAACAGACTTTTCTGACTTTTTCAGACAACCTTCAGCCTTTAACAGTTACTGTTGAAGGAATAAAGGACCAAGTGCGGTTACAAGGAGAACCTTTCAACATTTCCTGCAGAGTACAATATCACTCTTCTGAATATCATGGCACATGGATCTGTCCCCCTACTGCAAACGTAAGCCATTTCTAAGAGTTTTTGATGTGAGCCTTAGCTTGTGTTGATTGTCTTGCATGATCTCAGAGATTCTTGTGGCTTATGTGAGCCCATTCATGCAAGGACTTAGACCTGTCTTCCAGAGCTGTTGAATGACAATGTCTAAACATCCATAACCAACAAGTCATTCATGAGTATCTGATGATTTAATATGTGCTGCAATGTCACAATGAAAACTCTGCTCCTTAGATATTTGGGTGGAATATTGTGACACAATTAGAAAATGGCAGAGTTTGCAAAATGACACATGTGTCATCATTTTGGCATCATCATGGCTAGGTCCAGGCATCATGAGGCTATTGGCTGGCTTGGGCGATGGGAGTTGTAGTCTTGAGGCAATCAAATTGAAGAAGGCTGCTTCAACTGTGCATTAAACTTGCAGCTCTCCAGATTGATTTGCTTTTGCATCTTGATCATTTAATCCAGGTTGTTTTTTAACAATTTCCGAGTGTCTCGAATCTTCAAACTGCCTTATTGTGTGAACACAAACCTCAGTCATTTCCAATAGAGGTAGAAGGAACCAAAGGATATTTATTTATCAAAGGGATGTACTGATGAATCTTATGTCTTTGCTTTCTTTGCTTTCTACATACTTTAATTAGCTTGTAAAACAATTTATACTTCAGTATATTTTTATATTTAACTAATACAGATGTGAAACCATTATTTCATAGCCTGTTGTTTAGGAACTAGCATAATCTGAAATATATCTGAAGCACTAATTAACATAAACAATTGGGGTTAACAAAATATAAGTGGAGGACCAGCCCTGTTCACGGAAAAGCCCTACAGTCTGGAAAAGGTTTAATTGGAGATAATGGGGATAAAGAGCTCCTATCTCCAAATCAGCATAAAAACATCTGCCTTTTCTTACCACAGGCCAGCACGAATGAGATGGAAATCGATATTGGATTAGCTCAGTCATACACAACTGATTTTACCGTATTCATTCCAGCAGTGCAGTTACAAGACAGTGGAAAATATACTTGTCTTGGGGAAATTTCTCAAACAGTTGTAAATGCTTCGGTTACTCTCCAGGTACTAGGTAGGTGAAATTACAAGGAAAACCTTCTTCCCCTCACCAATAAAAATAGGTTTTGTGTATCCAAAACACCATTCCAGTTTATTAATGAGGTTGTTTTCATTCTGTTTCTGTGGAGTTTTTACATTGTGTTAGCTGACTGGAGGGTTTTTATGAACAGAAATATGGAATATCAGTTAAATCAATCAGAAATGAATAAACACAGTGCATGAGAATAGAATAGAATAGAGTAGAATAGAATAGAATAGAATAGAATAGAATAGAATAGAATAGAATAGAATAGAATAGAATAGAAGGGACCTTGGAGGTCTTCTAGTCCAGCGCCCTGCTAATGCAGACGTTTCTCCTTAATTCCAGGTTGCTTCTCTCTTTGATCAGTTTCCAACCATTATTTCTTGTCCTGCCCTCTGGTGCTTTGGAGAATAATTTGACCCATTTTCTTTGTGGCAGCCCCTCAAATACTGGAATACTGCTATCATGTCACCCCTATTTCCTCTTTTCTTTAGACTAGCCAAACCCAAGTCCTGCAGCCATTCTTGATATGTTTTAGTCTCCGAGCCTTTGATCATCTTAGTTGTTCTTCTCTGAACTTTTTCCAGAGAAGAATTATCAAACAGTATATGAAAAGAATGATCAAACCTGCATGAGAAGAATTATCAAAGGTTGTCTACTATTTAGTATGATAGTCTCTCAGTAAGGAAGTTACATGATAAAGACAGAAATTCTTAATATTTTCTAAAATACAAATGTGTTATATAAGAATTTTTCTTTATGGTTCAGGAAAAATATACAACTATAAAATATGAAAATTCCCAGGTACTTCAGATTAATTAGTAAAACTACTGCAAAGTTTTCAGATGAAATGTAGCATTGCTTTCTATTCTCTTTTAAAATTCAAGATAGAATAAAATTTATAATATTTTCAAAAATGGATGTTTTAAGGACATAGATATCTTGTTTTCCCACATCCGATATTTCCATTCATCTCTCCAGCATTTTGAATGGCAAGTTTCTGGGGTAATTCAACTACCTTGCTCCTATCAAATTTTGTCCATAAAATCCAGTATCAGTGCATAAGTTCAACACATTTATGACCAATTTTTCTGCCTTCCAGATACACCTAAAAGAAATCAAAAGCTTAGATCAGACATGTCAAACAAAGCCCCGGGGCCGGATGCGGCCGGTGAAGTGGTTTCATATGGCCCGCAAAGCCATCCTGGAAACAGTGAGGGAATGGCCCCCGCTACCTTGACCCTGGCCCATGCCGGCTGGGAGCCAATGTACAATTTTGTGGTGGCCATCTATGCTGAAACACATTCAGTCTTAGCTACACTGGCCATCTAGAAACAGCAAGGAACCAGCCACTGCTGTGTCGGCCCCAACCCCTGGGTGCATGCTGGGGAGGTTTGTGAGGAATGAAGAAATGGACCATGCCTTGGCGCTTGCCCTGGTCCCACCCCCTTCTGCCAGAGACCCTCAGATCTGTCCCACTCCTGCCCAGGCCTCCCCAGGCACCCTTGATGCGAACGATGTAGAGCTGGCCGTGCCCACCCAGTAGGCCACACCCACTCCATCCATACCCACCCAGTAGGCCGCACCCCCCCCCCGAGGGCAACCACAATGCTGATGCAGCCCTCAATGAAATTGAGTTTGACACCCCTGGCTCAGACACTCCCATCCCAACTCCAGAAACATGAAGTTAGTATTCTGTCCCGGTCCTTTCATCAGTTCATGTTCATGTTTGCTTCTTTTGTAAGCCCATCAATTGTCTGTCTACTGGATTTTGTAAGCCACCTTGTAAATCACTTTCAGGGTTAAAGATCAGATCAGAATTCTTTAAATCAGCTTTCCCTAACAGGGTGCCTTCCAGTTGTAGTGGCCCAATCATTCACATGGGATTGTGGAAATAATAATCCCATGTATTTCAAAGCCACCAGAATGGAGATAATGAATTGAACGAAGTCCTTCCTGTGGGATTTTTAAATTCTGCATACAAAAGTAACTATTGGCTGTGGCAGGTAATGAATCATGGGCATGCAATAGTGCATCATGTAGCATCATGGCTGCTCCTTGTGAATACTGCAGGAATTAGTTGGGTTTGGTCTACCCTTCAAAATGACCCTCTGCAATCGAAACAGGCTCATTGGTCATTCCTGAGTAGCTGAAAGGTGGGGACAGCTTTAAGTACTTTATTTTTGCTTTGGAATGTGCTGTTTTGCTGCTGGACTCCTCAGTGATCATCATCATTATGCATGTGATGAACAAATCTACTAAGAATCAAGTTATTTTCCTCAAGGAAATAGCTTTCTACCTTCACTTCCTTAGAGATTAACATCCTACTTTGCTTTCCAGAGAAAGGATATCTGCGTTTGTCCACATTACAGAACAGAATTCAGGAGACGAACATGCATCAAAACCTGAACCTTCATGTGCTCATTGACGCGTATCCTAGACCTTCAACGTATAGATGGATACATGTAAACCCATCAGGAAAGCCCACAAACATTGGCCACATGGTTTTTGGTCATCAAAGGTAAAAGCTAGGTGGTATTTTCCATTCCTTCAGAGGACTTAGCTACTCATGCTGTCATTACCATCTAGTTGGACCAAGGCAATCCACTTTACAGGAGACTGCCGTTAAAGAATATTTAGAAACTACAGCTGGTTCAAAATGTATAGTTTCAACTCCATCAGTTTCACAGTCCCTGCATTATTTGCCATCTCGTTTTCTTCTCTAATTAAAGTACCAGTTTTAAACTACAAATGTTATCCATGGCTTGCCAGATATTCCCAGGACTTACTTCTCCAGCCAGTTTTGACTCTACCAATTAGATCTACCAGGAAGAAGCTGCTGCAATTTTCAGTATAGTGTGCCCTGTATTGAATAGTGACAGATGAGAAGGTTGTTTGATAACTGTCTTAGACATGATTTGAATGATGTTTTCTTTCCTATTTCTATTCAATATATTTTTGAAAGCAAGCATACCACAAAATAAAGCTCACAAAATAATCATCTGTCGCTATGGAGATCTTGTATTACAATCGCTTCTTAACATTTTTACATGCATATTTGCTCTCTCTTTTGATAGACACAACAATACACTCAGGCTGAATTCGATGAAGGAAAAAAACAGTGGCGAATATATATTTTTTGCAGACAATGGGGAAGCCAATGCATCCATTCATTTTTACGTCTCCGTGAAAAGTATGTCCTGTGCTACTCATTTTTTGTAATGACATGTGGGAATGACTTTGGGAATCACAGATGCAGCCAAGGAGATGGATAGATAAGTGGTGAGATAAAAGAGAAGCAGCAGAATGTGGATAGGGCAAGCAGCTCAGAAGGGACCCTCCCTAGTTTCTTGGCTGCAAAGGAGATGGTGGGGCAGGGAGAGATTTGAGATGTACAGTAAACCTACAAGTAGTTTAGAATTAGTTCTTCTGGCCGTGCTACCTGTCTGGTGTTTCTGGAAAGGCTGACAGTTTCCAATCTAGAGTGCTAGAAAACTCAAAAGCCACACAAAGTCTTTCTAAGGGAAATCCAGTTATCCTTAAAACAAAACATGCCCATGGTTGCCCTTAAATATATCAGATCTCAGGGTAGGTAAGCAAAAGGAAATTATCTTCTTTTTTGTGGCAAAATGAACACCAGCTATACTTCTTCCAAAAATTCATATTTTATTACTGTGGATATTGTCCTAGAAGTAATCCTGAATTCTTATCGGAAGTAACTTTTCCTAGTCATAATTGAGTCAATTCACTCAGATGGAAAAATAATTGACTTTATGCCACTGTATAAAAAAGGTGATGGGGAGCTAAGTTGCAAAGAGCACGCTATTAATCTGATTTGCTGCAATTTCCATTTTTCAGTGTGCTACCATTTTCGTACAGCTAATGAGATTTGAAATGAAGAAATTATGCTGCTGTCTACTGTCTTTACTGGTTCCTTTGCATTTGCTTTTTAGCTACACCAAAAATTACAGCGTTGACCAACATTTCCAGTGGTCTCCAATGTGAAGTAACTGGCTATCCTCCTCCACATATTCAGTGGTACAAATTGCCCCCCAACATTTATAGGTAAGTAATAGAATCACAGCACAAGCCAATGCATTTCTACTCAAAAATGCTTGCTGAGACTTAGGGGTATAATAGCACTGCAGCTTTAATATACCACCATTTTCATTATGAAACTAATTCATCTCAGTTCTCAACATGCTGACTCTGTAAACTGCTTAGAGAGGGCTGTAAAGCACAGAGAAGTGGTATATAAGTCCAAATGCTATTGTGATTGCTATATTTTATAGCTATAATGAAGGAACCTCACTGGGCTGATTGTTTTGATTTTGGTTTCTTTAAAAATGCAACTTCCTACAATGTAATTTCTGGAGCAGTTAATTTACACAATTAAAATTATATTATGGTTGAGGCAATCAATCAAAGACAAAAGGGTATAGGGAAAAATGGGTTTATGAAGTTGATTGCCATAAAGAAACTATTGCTAATTTGCAAATTGTTCTTATTTGTGAATGATTCTCATCCATTTGTTGTTTCTTTTGGGGTGTTATGTTCATTGCACAATTTTGGAATTTGTGACAATTGCTGCTAATTCAAATTATCTAAAAAGATGAAGATCAATGGCAGTGAGATCAGGAATGGGACCATCTAACCCATGTGTTAGACCAGAGCTCCCCAATTCCTGGACTGCAGACTGGTACCAGTCTGTGGCCCGTTAGGAACTGGACAGCACAAGCAAGCAAAGCTTCATCTTTGCATATACAGCAGCTATGTACAGCACAAAATCACTCCCCCCCACCCCCGCCAGGTCCATGGAAAAATAAAACCAGTCCTTGGGGCCCAAAAGGTTGGGGATCACTATACTGGACAGTATCTCTTTGACAAATTAGCTCTTCCCCCTGTTCTCATCATTTGCACAACAGTAAGAAAAACCTCTGATACATCAATCCCTAGAAATTCCAGCAAATAAAATTCTCATCCACCTGTCATACTAATATCTCTG